GAACCCCTAAACCCTAAAACCCTAAACCCTAAACCCGGAATCCTACACCCTGAACCCTAAACCCTAAACCCTGAACCCCTAAACCCTAAAACCCTAAAACCCTAAACCCGGAATCCTACACCCTAAACCCTAAACCCCAAACCCTAAACCTTAAACCCTAGACCCTAAACCCTAAACCCTAAACCCTAAACCTTAAACCCTAGACCCTAAACCCTAATCCCTAAGCCCCAAACCCCAAACTGCCCAGTCCTTGCCGAACGAAGTGTCGGTGACGCGAATGGCATCGGATGCTTAAACTGCCGGCGACTCAGGAGTTCAGGGTTTTAGGGGTTTAGGGTTTAGGGTTTAGGATTTAGGGTTTAGGGTTTAGGGTTTAGGGTTTAGGGTTTACTTGGAGGGTCGGGAGACTTAGTAAATGGTGATTTTATAGACTTATAAGTACTATAACCCCAATTAGGGTCCCTTGTAGGGTACTTATAAGTCTACTTATTGCCTACTTACTAAGTCTCCCGACCCTCCAAGCAGGGGGTTTATAGGGCTTAGGGGCTTAAGGTTTAGGGTTTAGGGCTAAAGGGTTTAAGGTTTAGGGTTTAGGGCATAAGGGTTTAAGGTTTAGGGTTTAGGGTTTAGGGCTTAAGGGTTTAAGGTTTAGGGTTTAAGGTTTAGGGCTTTGGGGTTAGGGTTTGGTGATGAAAGGATTGGGCTCACATTGATCCAAAGGGCGCACATCGTGCTTCTTCATGTGTGTTTGATTGTGCTCGCTGTTGCAGCTGTTGCCCAAAGGGTCCTAGGTACTGTTATGGGGGATACTTTCCCAAATCATAATAACAATTCCTAATATAGAAACCCTACATTCTACTATATAGGTACTTTGGACCCTTTGGGTTGGTAAGAGTCCTAGCTCGAAAAGGTCGCAGCTGCGATTCTGATTGCTGCTTGGTGCTTTCGACTGCGGGGGTTTAGCGTTTAGGGTTTAGAGTTCCCCGGAAGTGTTGTTGGACTGAGGCTCGTGTCGGTGATGACGGGGGCGATGCTGTTGTCATGACGATCAGGCCGATGGTGTTACTTAAAATCAGGAGCATGACCATACGCCCTGGTCACCGTCTTCCTCATCATCAGCAGCATCATCGGTATGGCCACGTTTTGCCATCATCACGCCATCTAGGCCACCATAAACCGACGAGATTATTGTGGACACTGCGTGTCCAAGATCTCGTCCGTGGCTCCGGGAAATGTAAGGGGTGTAGTCTTTCACAGGCGCGAGTCCAGATGTTGCCCCCATCCGAAAACGCAAGTTCAATCTTCAACAGGGTAGTTCTCCAAGTTAGGGTCCCTATTTGGGTCCTAGAAAAATACCCTGAACCCTAAACCGTTTTAAAGCCTAATCCCTAAACCCTAAACTAAATACGGCACCTTTATCAAAAGGACCCTAGAAAGGGACCCCGACTTAGAGAACTACAAGCCCCGGCCATGGCCCAACGCGAGAAGACCCCGACCCAACATCCCAAGCATCCCATGGTTTAGGGTTGAGGGTCGAGGGTTTGGGGTTGAGGGTTGAGGGTTTAGGGTTGAGGGTTCAGGGTTCTTAGGAGCCCAATAAGCAATCTCTAAACATTCTTGGCATATTAAGCCCCTACTAACAGAGAGGCTTAAACTTTTTTGGGCCAGGGTATTGGGCTTAAAGGGGTTTAGGGCCTAAACCCTAAACCCTAAACTTTAGGGTTCAGGGTTTTTTGGGGTTGGCTCATGTGGTCAGGCCTTCAAAGAGGCCGCGAACGTTTGAGCTCGGCCTTCTGATGCTGCAACTAGTAACACTTAGGAGCCCAGTAGGTAAACTTTAAACTTTTTGGTATATTAAACCACCTACTAAAAGAAAAGTTTAAACTTCTTGGTATATTAAACCCCCTGCTAAAAGAAAAGTTTAAACTTTTTGGTATATTAAACCCCCTGCTAAAAGAAAAGTTTAAACTTTTTGGTATATTAAACCCCCTACTAAAAGAAAAGTTTAAACTCTTTTGCGCCAGGGTACTGGGCTTCAACGAACAACTGCTTGGTGGCTGAGTAGGTAACCTTTAACCTTTTGGGGCTCTTATAATCCTACTACAATTCAAAAGGTTAACTTTTTTGGGGCTAGGGTACTCAGCCCCTAAGACTGTAGTATTTGACGTAGAAAAGTTCGCGGTGGCATGTAGGAGTCGTAGTAGTCGTCGTAGTCGTCGTCGTCGTAGTAGTAGTAGTAGTAGTACATGGACCTCGTGTGGTTTCATGTCATCGTCGCGAATGCTTCAAAACCTGGTTGCAGCGTGCTTATCGGTGCAGACTTTAGGACGGGGCTTCGACGGCACAGGCAAACTCTAAACCCTAAGCCCTAAACCCTAAACCGGGCAAGTCCCAGGGCTGCATGTAGGAAGTCCCGAAACCCGAGAACCTTACCCTGAATCCTTTCTTGAGTATCAATGAAGCCGGAAAGACCGACCTCTAATCCCAACTGGTCCTAGAACTGTTATGGGGGATGCTTTCCCAAATCATAGTAACAGTTCCTAATATAGAAACCCTAAACCCTAAACCCCCCAAACCCTAAAACCGAAACCCTAAACCCTAAACCCCCCAAACCCTAAAACCTAAACCCTGAACCCTAAACCCTAAACCCTAAACCCTAAACCCTAAACCCTAAACTCTAAACCCTAAACCCTGAACTCCATTTCTTTGCTCAGACCTTTGGTGTGAGGGAAATGGCTTGAGGGCTTTAGGGTTTAGGGTTTAGGGTTTAGGGTTTAGGGTTTAGGGTTTAGAGCTGAACCGGAAGCTTCAAATGCCTAAGATGATATTAGGGTTTAGAGTTTAGGGTTTAGGGTTTAAGGCTGTTCAGATGTTTAGCCGTAGAAGCCCCTGCGCTGTGTGCCGCAGTTTGTCATGAGGGTGTGCCCCGGTTTGATGCCGACAGCAATCCGTGCCGATTTAAAGAGATGGGTTGGCACGATGCATTGTTTAGGGTTTAGGGTTTAGGGTCTAGGGTTTAGGAATTAGGGTTTAGGGTTTAGGGTCTAGGGTTTAGGATTTAGGGTTTAGGGTTTAGGCCCAAAGGCCCTGACGGCAAGGTTCAGGCTACCATTCCTGCCTTGATGCACACTCCCCGACATTAGTATGTTCCACATGATGACACGTGCACATACACACATTATGCACACATTATTGAGCATATATATATATATATATNNTATATATATGTATACATGCACATATGTCGTAAATACACGTAATTAATGCATCTACATTCTACATTCGTAGCTGTTCATACGCATTATAATATGCACATACACTTACCCATGCCCATATCCGTGAAAATACACGTGCAATCGCATACATGGACATGTGCACATACACATATACTGCATAACAACCCATACATACATACATACATAC